AAAGAGACAGAATGTGAGTCGGGAGGGATAGAGAGGGAGACACAGAATCCGAATCAGGCTCCAGGCTCTGAGCTGTCAGCATAGAGCCCCACACGGGGCTTGAACTTGTGAGCCAGGAGATCATGACCTGAGCCGAAGTCGGACGCTTAACTGACTGATCCACCCAGGTGCCTGTTTCCTTCTATTCATAATCTCCTAAAACTTTTTACATCAATGTGCATTGAATTTTATTGACTGATTTTTCAGCATATCTTGAGATGGTTTTGTTTTTTTCCTTTAAGCTTTTAATGTAGTAAATGCCATGAACTTTCTAATGATAAATGGTCTTTATATTCCTGGAATAAAACAATTTGCTCATGGCTTGTTTACTTTGTGCATATTGCTAGATTCCATTTGCTGATACCGTGTGGGATGTTTGCCTCTGTGTTTATAATTGGATTATAATGTCACTTTATTTTACTAATCTCTTCTAGTTTTTGGTATCAAGGTTAAATTGACCTCAAATTTAATCTTTCCCTATTTTTTGGATGTTTGTATAACATTGGAATGATCTGTTTCTTTAAAAGTTTGGTACAATTCACCAGTAAAACTATGTGGGCCTGATGTATTCTTTGAGGAAGAAATTTAAAGTAAGATTTATCGTGGTGCCTGGATGGCTCAGTCGGTTGAGTGTCCGACTTTTGATTTCAGTTCAGGTCATGATCCCAGGGTCATGGGATTGAGCCTTCAGTCAAGGCTTGGCTCAGAGCCTACTTAAGATTCTCTTTCTCTCCTTCTGCCCCTACTCCTGTGAGCATGCACATGCTTTCTCTCTCAAATAAAATAATCAATTAAAGTAAGATTTATGATGATCTTAAAGCTGGTGCATAAAAAATTAGCTTGGAGCGCCTGGGTGGCTCAGTCAGTTAAGCGTTGTACTTTTGATTTTGGTCATCATCTCACGGTTCATGTGATCAAGGCCCGGGTCAGGCTCTGAGCTGGTACTTAAGAGTGTGCTTCGGATCCTCTCTCTCAAAATTAATAAACTTAAAAAAAAGTATTCCCTTTAAAACTAGAAACAACGATGCCCACAATTGCTTCTATTTCACAGTCAGCTCGGGAGAGCAAGAAAAAGAAATTAGAGACACAAGAATTGAGGAGGAAAAAACAAAATCGTCTTTTTTCAGACGATGGTTATGTTGATAGAGAACTCAAAAGAATCCACCAAAAGACGTTAAAAATGAATTTAACATGGTTGCTGGTTAAAAAACAATGTATGGAGGGGCGCCTGGGTGGCGCAGTTGGTGAAGGTCCGACTTTGGCTCAGGCAATGACCTCACAATTCGTGAGTTCCAGCACTGTGTGGGGCTCTGCACGGACAGCTCAGAGCCTGGAACCTGCTTCAGGTTCTGTGTCTCCCTCTCCCTTTGCCCCTCCTCCACTCATGTGTACACACTCTCTCTCTCTCTCTCTCAAAAATAAACATTTAAACATTTAAATAAACATTATTTAAATAAACACTTAAGTAAATAAATACACAAACCAGTGTATGGACCCAATGTGGGGTCTCCTGATCAGACGGGGCCACCACAAGTGGGGCATCCCAGTAAGGTAGGGGCCGGTAGCACAGGCAGTGAAATAATTCACCCAAGGGGCCCCTGCGTGACTCTGTAGGTTAAGGGTCTGACTCTCGATCTCAGCTCGGGTCATGATATCATGATCATGAGATGGAGCCCCGAGTCAGGCGCCACACTGGGCCTGGAGCCTGCTTGAGATTCTCTCTCTCCTTCTCCCTCTGCCCCTCGCACACGCCCTTTCTATGTCTCAAAAAAATAAAAAATTCACCCAAAGCAGAACAAAAGAGATAGAAGTTTATTGAATTTATTGAGTACACCACAAGGGAGCAACAGGTGGGACAGCAGAGGAGAGACTGTCTTCAAGGGAGGTGGTGGAGGCCACAGGTGGAGTGAGAGGATGGGAATGTGTGGAATTTTCCCTTTTTGGGTAATCTTAGGAACTGTGCCTGGTTGTTATTGGTCAGTTAGGGCCTAAGGCAATTTCAAGGTGGGTTGCATTATTAACAAGACTGCATGGTCTGTTTGCAATCAACTTGGTGGTGGTTGCAGTGGGCCCTTTCACCTTGATCAAGTTTCCACTGCTCAAGCCTGTTGACTAAAAGCATCCTCTACAGAAAGGTATACACTATTTCCATGTGGCAACTACAATGGAAAACATTATTTTTTTAAAGACACCAT